CCCCATATATCTTTTTTTTACACATCTAAATGTCTTCATATTACATATTTGTTATTGATAATGCTCTCAGTTCTAAAACTGTCCATATAGTTTTAGCTATAGTAGCAAGACACACCCTTTCATGCTCATCTTAAACCACGGCTGTCAGATCAGTCCATCCCAACATGGAAAAGCGCACACAACGACAATAAGTCGACGTATATTTTCCACACTTGCCATATATTTTATAACAAACAATTTCTGTAGAGCTTGGAAATTATCATTGTGAAAGAAAGTGTATGTACGTTTCAGCAAAAATATCATTTGTAGAAATGAACAAATAAAATAATTTGAGGCTCTGTGATAACGGCACTAATTATCTGAAACAGCTCAAAGCAGCAGTATGTCTATATCAATATAACTAGTGATAATACACAGAACACCATGATTTCTATAGCGCATATGGTTTTCCTTAAAGAAACTCTCTAACACAATATAATGGCTGGCGAAACATTTTCATTAATCCATGGATTTAAAGCAGGAAAAGATATTAGGTTCTAGCAATGCATTATAAGCAGATATCATAGTTGTTATAGAACTAGAGGGAGTCATTGTTATGTCAGTCTTCAAAAATGCAAAATACCACTTTTCAATATTATTTGTACGCGTCATCATGATATTCATCAGTCGTCTATAGTTATTATACAAGTAACAGTTCTCTACGTATAATGACAGTTATATATATATATATTATGATTATACCAGTCATCAATTACTTTTAATACATGTAGCAGTTATCTTTTAACATATATCAATATACATAACCAGTCGATAGTGTATATATCCTCATCAATTTATCTATAATACCCGTCATCAATCTACTTATAGAAACAGTTACCAATATATTTACAATACCGGTTATCAATCGATTCATACTACCAGTCAGCATCATAATTGACAAACAGTCATCAATCTAATTATAGGAACAGTCATCAATACTATTACAATACGGGTCTTTATTATATGTATCATCATACCAGTCATCATTATACTTATCATCATACGAGTAGTCATTATCCTTATCATCATACCAGTCATTACGATAATTATCATCATACCAGTCATTACGATAGAAAGATAGGTATGTAAGTCTCCAGAAAAGCAAAGCATATTTCCCTCAGTTTGATTAGTATTGTTAGGAGACATTTCTAGTTATACTCACGGGATGGTGTGGTTTCCAATTTAAATTCATGCCTTGCTTTAAACTAGCTACGTATGTAGCTGTGATCACTGGTGATAGAGTCAAAGAACAATACCAAAACAAAGAATAACAACAGTTTGACAATCGGTTATGAAGTCGACTACAACAGTACACAAACTCTATATAACGTGCGCTGCATCTGTTGTAACAGTTTACGCTTTGATAGTATATAAGACTGGATTCGTCGCCCCTTTCTTTTTTCACGTTATGATTGTATTATTATGATTGTATGAGAACTAACATTGAACAATAATGTAATAGTATGCTGGACCAAAACAGAACTGTTTCCCACGTATTTACTCAGTTCAATGATATCCATTTCGAAACCGAGTCTTATCACCCTGGTAGTTTTTCAAAAGCACCTGAGGAGTAAATATTTCCTGTTTTCATAATTTGCCAGAGTTTTATCGACTTTATGTGCGAGTTAACGTTTTGTTTACACTTCAACATTAATCCTACCTCATGTCAAGCTAAACACCAAATACTTTCTGTCTGTCAGTATAATAAATACGACATTCAACGTTCACATATTATTCAAATCGTTTTAAGTGTCGTGATAAATGACAATTAATTGTGATACCGTTAACTCTTCACTACATTTAATTGTTTTATTCGGATAATGCTCAAGTTATATCCCTGATGTCTTAACTAAAACAAAATCATGTAAGACCAAAACAAATATTTACATTTACTTATTTGAACGATGCTTTTGTTTTCTTACTTGAACGACGTCGTCTTTCCCAAATGTATGCTGTACAAACTATACTGTAACTATCTTTTTTTATAAGTGCGATTATTTTCGTTTTAATGAAAGACGATTTGTTTTCGTTTTTCGTACCATTTTAGCAAATACGAAGACAGGTGACAATGCAGAAATTAACAGGAAATGTTGGTTTCTGCGATTTTCCTCATCCGCAGAAGACAGAGGAAAACCAAGGTTGTGCAGGAGACCCCACGTATGTCGCCTCCTACTTATCAGTAGGTCTATTCTTTTCCCGGACCTGCAAGGTAATTAGTAAAAGGATACTGAGAATAAAGCATATTGTATCCAGAACGCAAAGAAGAACCCGTATCTTGATGATAAATGGGGTCGAACCAGGAAGTTCCGCCATTTTGAATGACATTCCAGTCTGGATAAAACAGTAAAGAGCGCCGATACCGAAGGCCATGAACGCTCCTATAATGTGTACAACCATAACATTTGTTTCCTGAAAAGACAAAAATAGCTGTTTTAAGATTTATTTCTATGCATGATTATATGTATATAATAAACGGTGTTTGCATATTTAATAAACTAAGAAAATTAACTTTGATACAGAATAAGAAAACCGATAGGTTAGCTAACTTATAATATTATCATAATTTTGTCACAGAAATATTGAAAGAAAAAAGTAAAAGTAATCTCATGATTACTGATGCAACATGTAAATAGTTAATATTTTGGCGTTACAAAATTTCATTTCAGCATCTGGACGTTACAAATACACTGCTATTACTTGGACGTTACATGTTCACTGTTAGTACTTGGACGTTACAAATACACTGTTAGTACTTGGACGTTCCATGTTCACTGTTAGTACTTGGACGTTACAAATACACTGTTAGTACTTGGACGTTACAAGTTCACTGTTAGTACTTGGACGTTACAAATACACTGTTAGTACTTGGACGTTACAAGTTCACTGTTAGTACTTGGACGTTACAAATACACTGTTAGTACTTGGACGTTACAAGTTCACTGTTAGTACTTGGACGTTACAAATACACTGTTAGTACTTGGACGTTACAAGTTCACTGTTAGTACTTGGACGTTACAAATACACTGTTAGTACTTGGACGTTACAAGTTCACTGTTAGTACTTGGACGTTACAAATACACTGTTAGTACTTGGACGTTACAAGTTCTCTGTTAGTACTTGGACGTTACAAATACACTGTTAGTACTTGGACGTTACAAGTTCACTGTTAGTACTTGGACGTTACAAATACACTGTTAGTACTTGGACGTTACAAGTTCACTGTTAGTACTTGGACGTTACAAATACACTGTTAGTACTTGGACGTTACAAGTTCACTGTTAGTACTTGGACGTTACAAATACACTGTTAGTACTTGGACGTTACAAGTTCACTGTTAGTACTTGGACGTTACAAATACACTGTTAGTACTTGGACGTTACAAGTTCACTGTTAGTACTTGGACGTTACAAATACACTGTTAGTACTTGGACGTTACAAGTTCACTGTTAGTACTTGGACGTTACAAATACACTGTTAGTACTTGGACGTTACAAGTTCTCTGTTAGTACTTGGACGTTACAAATACACTGTTAGTACTTGGACGTTACAAGTTCACTGTTAGTACTTGGACGTTACAAATACACTGTTAGTACTTGGACGTTACAAGTTCTCTGTTAGTACTTGGACGTTACAAATACACTGTTAGTACTTGGACGTTACAAGTTCACTGTTAGTACTTGGACGTTACAAATACACTGTTAGTACTTGGACGTTACAAGTTCACTGTTAGTACTTGGACGTTACAAATACACTGTTAGTACTTGGACGTTACAAGTTCACTGTTAGTACTTGGACGTTACAAATACACTGTTAGTACTTGGACGTTACAAGTTCACTGTTAGTACTTGGACGTTACAAATACACTGTTAGTACTTGGACGTTACAAGTTCACTGTTAGTACTTGGACGTTACAAATACACTGTTAGTACTTGGACGTTACAAGTTCACTGTTAGTACTTGGACGTTACAAATACACTGTTAGTACTTGGACGTTACAAGTTCACTGTTAGTACTTGGACGTTACAAATACACTGTTAGTACTTGGACGTTACAAGTTCTCTGCTAGTACTTGGACGTTACAAGTTCACTGGTAGTAACTAGATGCTACATGTTCACTGTTAGTACTTGGACGTTACAAATACACTGTTAGTACTTGGACGTTACATGTTCACTGTTAGTACTTGGACGTTACAAACACACTGCTATTACTTGGACGTTACATGTTCACTTAAAGTACTTTGACGTTATCAATTCACTACTTGTACGTGGACGTTACAAGTTCACTGCTAGCACTTGGACGTTACAAGTTCACTGCTAGTACTTGGACGTTATAAGTTTACTGCTAGTACTTGGACGTTACAAGTTCACTGCTAGTACTTGGACATTACAAGTTCACTGCTAGTACTTGGACGTTACAAGTTCACTGCTAGTACTTGGACGTTATAAGTTCACTGCTAGTACTTGGACGTTATAAGTTCACTGCTAGTACTTGGACATTACAAGTTCATTGCAAGTTCTTGGACGTTACATGTTCTCTGGTAGTAACTAGATGCTACATGTTTACTTAAAGTACTTTGACGTTATCAATTCACTACTTGTACGTGGACGTTACAAGTTCACTGTTAGTACTTGGACGTTACAAGTTAACTGCTAGATATTTGACGTTACAAGTTCACTGCTAGTACTTGGACGTTACAAGTTAACTGCTAGATATTTGACGTTACAAGTTAACTGCTAGATATTTGACGTTACAAGTTCTCTGCTAGTACTTGGACGTTACAAGTTCACTGCTAGTACTTGGACGTTACAAGTTCACTGCTAGTACTTGGACATTACAAATACACTGCTATTACTTGGACGTTACAAATACACTGTTAGTACTTGGACGTTACAAGTTCACTGATAGTACTTGGACGTTACAAGTTCACTGATAGTACTTGGACGTTACAAGTTCACTGATAGTACTTGGACGTTACAAGTTCACTGATAGTACTTGGACGTTACAAGTTCACTGATAGTACTTGGACGTTACAAGTTCACTGATAGTACTTGGACGTTACAAGTTCACTGATAGTACTTGGACGTTACAAGTTCACTGATAGTACTTGGACGTTACAAGTTCACTGATAGTACTTGGACGTTACAAGTTCACTGATAGCACTTGGACGTTACAACTTAACTGCTAGATATTTGACGTTACAAGTTCTCTGCTAGTTCTTGGACGTTACAAGTTCACTGCTAGTACTTGGACGTTACAAGTTCACTGCTAGTACTTGGACATTACAAGTTCACTGCTAGTACTTGAACGTTACAAATTCACTGCTAGTACTTGGACGTTAAAGGTTCACTGCTAGTACTTGGACGTTACAAGTTAACTGTTAGTACCTGGACGTTATCGTTGCATTGCTAAAACTTGGACGTTACAAGTGCACTGCTAGTACTTGGACGTTACAAGTTAACTGCTAGTATTTGGACGTTATTAATTCACTGATATTACTTGGACGTTACAAGTTAACTGCTAGATATTTGACGTTACAAGTTCTCTGCTAGTTCTTGGACGTTACAAGTGCACTGCTAGTACTTGGACATTACAAGTTAACTGTAAGTACTTGGACGTTGCAAGTTCACTACTAGTACTTTGGCGTTACAAGTTCACTGCTAGTACTTTGACGTTACAAGTTCACTGCTAGTACATGGACATTAAAAGAGGACATCTAATACTATGACGTGCACATTTGTGTAACCGGTATTTAATGACGAAATGGCTTTAGTTCAATTTTTAAAAGATTAAGTAATGATTCATGTATTGATATTATTCAATATGATAAGTTTCATATTGTATCAATATTCCCATTCATTCTCGCCTATAACGTTATCCACTTTAAAGTCAGGTAAACATATGCTGTTCAGCAGATGTACTGACCCATTCTCGATAATCCATGAGTTACGCTCATGTTCGCTTTCTGCTTCCCTGCAATATATAACAGGTAAATTGAAGGCACACGGCTAGCTATTTGAATGGTCTCAGGATGATACCTAACCTTTGAAGATTAGAATGGAGCGATACCCGACTTCAAACTAGTCTCCTCGTCTCATCCACAAGGTGGTCCGCACCGAGCCTTCGATTTTGCTATGACATATACCTGGGGTGCAGAGAGCGAAAATAAACGTAACCCCTGGAGTAACGAGAATGAGAGAGACTTGTAGCAGCAAACACTTTCTCAAAAAGAAAGGGGGACTAAATAGGGTCATAACAACGCATTGTAGCACCGTGCACTGCTGAAGGGTAAACCTTCCAGGCTGTGGTACTAATACTCACCTGGAAGTTACCGACGATGCTAACTCCAGCAGCGGTTATGAGGCCTAGGATAAAAGCGACGGTGTTAGCTCGCAGTAAACCCTGTCTGTTGACAGGTAAATAAGCCGTCTGGATCTGTTTATACCTAATATAAACAAGCCAGGCCGCTGCGGAGAAACATTGAGAAGGAAAAAAAATGAAAAGTAGGTATTTCGACATCAATAGGAAATAAATTCTCAAAACATATAAACAGAAAAACAGAAAAAGAACAACGCTAAGCATGATTGCGCACCACATCTGGTACCACAGTGGCAAGGCATACATATTCCTAATTGACGGTCAACGGATAACAAAACAATCAGCGCCATTGAGACACGTAACATGACTGATTGTAATTCTTTCATTTGAACCAATCAGCAGATCGGCTGTCTTATTTCCCTATTTCATCGAAAAGGTAGGTTCCCATGGATCCCGTTGTTTTATCAATACATATATAAACATGTATATATGTTTGTTTGCCAGATTCCACAGACTATCTGGCATAGGTAGTCAGTCATTATTTCATCATTATCTTAAACTTTATTCATTCTGTTATAATCTCAAAGACACTGACCTAGAAGAGCGCCGATGTTGAGTAGTTGACCGAAAATACAGCTCTCTGGAGGCAGTGTGCCGGTATCACTGGAACATAAGGATGTATCAGTGAAACGTTATCGACCGGAAATACAATATTGAAGAATTGAAATCAATGTCTTGGTTTTTAACACATTTTACTGACGTATTAGGTTTATTTTCAAAATTATTGATTTTGTAAATTGAAATGTAAATATCTGACACTGTTTAACAATGAGAATTTATCAAAAGTTAAACGATGATTAATAGTGATTAGACAACATTTAAAACAAACAATTTGCTTAGGAAATATATCAAAGCTATTGCCTGTCAGATATGCTAGAATTTTTATATCACAAATTTCAAATTAAATTACAAGTAATGGAACATCATAAAAGACATTACATGATGATCATCTGTATAAAGGAAACAGACACTGTAACACATGCTATCAAATATGGTTTATCATATTATCACTATCGTAGCTTGTTGGATTGTTAATTCCCTTGGATTTATTTCAAAATGTGATTTTATCAGATAAGTATTACTACATATCACACAATGATATCGGTTTCGTTTCTCTAAATATATCAGCCTCTGAAAACGATCGTCGTCACGTTTAATGAGACCAGAGCGAGCATTCTTAGTTCCTTCCTCAAAACAACTGTGTACGGCCGATTAGTTTAGGGGTTTCTTAACTTTCCCTGTAAATAGTGTTCAGTTAATTACTTACAGAAGATCGCATTGATACCTTCACTGGTATAGTTTCTATAATGTTATCGAGGTAAATGCAGTTTTCCAGACATATCTACATGAAATGACATGCTTTTGATATGGATTTTTAAACAGAAGTATTCGACTCAATTCTCTACATCTTAAGTTACAGTTAACTGTTTGTCCTATTGAAAATTGAAGTGAATATCCTAAAGTTAAAAACAAAAGAAAAAAGTATAATTGGTTATAATGTCTTCAATGTGTTGTTCAAGATATAATGCTTGGAAAAGGACAATAAAGACTGCACCTGATCTACATTACTGTGTTCTGTGATCATGATTCATATGACTTTCCTAATAGAAAACTACAGCACTCACCTTATATATGGAAAACCCGCTTCAACGTGGCCATTAGATACTGCAATGGCATACCTGAATGGAACGAAGCGATTAAATTAGATTCCATATTAAAACATTAATAAAATTTAAAGCGATATTAATTCATTAAACGTTTCCTAGAAAATGTTATAATGGGAAAATATCATAACCAATATAAATACACAGCACACAATAGTGATAGAGAAATATCAACAGAAATCTAAAAGAGTTATTGTTAATGAAATACAATCTATTAGAGCGGCTGTGTCTAGTACAGTTAAAACGTAAGAATGTATACTTTAAGTACTCCGTAATCAAAGTAATTAATAGATTTTGAGTGTGTATTCGGGCATAATGTTGATGTCCTTTTAAGGATGTTTATATTTAAATCACAATATGTTACCTGACATCATTCACACTTACTCAACCTATCTACACATAGTTGTCTTCCCTTGTATTGTTTATTTAAGGAGTGCATTTCTCCATTTCCCTACAATTGAACTTCCGTTTTCGTTAGGAAAAGATAGATTTGTTTTGTTGAACCTGGATTAAGGCAGCTCAAGTGCGCCATTGATATGAAAACTTTCCTCTAATATATGCAACGCAACCATATCACAATTAAATCATGTCATCAGTTTTGTCGCAAATTTCATCAAATTGATACTGGCGTTGTTCACAAGTCTCACCATCAGTAATACACCAATCCCTCCTTTGTGATATAGACAGAGGAATGTCAAACTGTGGGTGGAATTTTTGTGGTTCAGCTTTCGGCAAGGCTCTTTACCTGATCATCGAAAATCCTACCCTCGGGTTGAAAGATTTGTTTCCATCACACAAAATTGTATTAGTGAGTACTTCTTGTGAATCATTTTTATTGTAGGCTCCAGATTTATTTATATACTTCTAAGCATAGCTTACGATTACTAAAGTGTGATACGGGTGCTTGTTAAGTGTCAATACTTACGTAATGAGGAAGGACACTGGAACATAGACAGCTGTTATGACTGTTACCACGTGCAGTTTGTCACCCAGTATCATGATGTCACTTTCACTTCCTTTATGTCGATATCTCCGGTTCCTCTCCCTTAGGTGTAACGGTGATCCCTCGTCTCCTTCCGTCGGGAGTAATAGCAAATCCTCGTCTTCTTCCGTCGGGAGTATTAGCAAATCCTCGTCTCCTTCCGCAGGGAGTAATAGCAAATCTTCGTCTTCTTCTACTAGGTGAAATGACGATCTGTCCTCTCCTTTCGTTAGAAAAAAAACAACTCCAAATATTATATTAAATACACACAGTTTGTTTCTCTTTTTCAGAAAATAGTACTTCAGAATTGAATTGTTCTGAATATTGGTGACGACCCGTTTCTATTTGGAACATTCCAGTATCTACGTTTATAACATGTATAAACGCAGGGTTATTTGCATCATGTGTTTTATTCAAGAAGAAGAATTACACGAAAACTAAATTGTGATTCAGATCAAACATTAGTATTATGCATTGATTTTAATTATCTAGCAAAGACTTCGTGGTACACCAGGCGTATTTTTCTCCATGTATGAATTGTAATTGCTTTTCATACGTGCAAATATAAGTGTAACCCCATAACAGTGACTATGAATTCTTTATGTATTCTGTCGTGATGTAATTTGCATTTTATTGAAACGTGACAGTTATGTTACCAAACTCGGCCACTTATAATATTTTTCATAAGCAATAGTTATGAGATATACGAAGTTTTAATCCCATGAGTTTAATTTGTATTGACTTTAAAAAAAATGCTTGTTGTCGTATGATGCAATTTTAAACGATGATTTATACAGAAATAAAAACGATAAAATTGTAGACCAGAATACAGCATGAAAAAAGTAAATATTCAATTACTTGAAAATGTGTATGCCAGCCATGTGAATAGAACATACCCAGTGATGTATGTTTAGGTCTGACTAATTGAGTACGCCGACTTCAAGGTATGCAATATGGGTATGCATTTTAGATATGTCAGATCAAACAGTAAGGAAATGTTTGCACAGATATAAAACAAAGGTTAACAACGTCAGATTTACAAATCAAACATATCCCCTTGCTATTAACTATGGAATTAACTGTAAGATTTCGATTTCACTGCAACACTCAATACGTCAGGTTCAAGAATGTTTACTAGTTATAAACATTCTGAACCACAGTGGATATGTTCTCAGTCTTTGAAGTCAGTAAGGTTGACCATAAGGTTGACCATAAGGCTATGATGATAACCGTATTCTGTAGCGTATGTTTAAGCAATGCAGACAGACAACCCTGTCTAGGGTATAACGTTCACATTTAAACGAGGTCGTGAGAAGTAAAACAATAGTAATGATAAGACAGCGTCATAAACCAAGAAGAAATATCCACAGCCGAACGGAAAGAATCGATAAAAAAACAGACACACAAAACACACACAAAATAAATGATAGTCATATTTCCAAAGGTAGGGTCAACCAACGCCTATGGAGATTAAACATTAGCGTCGGCCCCCGCTTTTCAAATTTTCAATTTCAAAACAAGATAAATCCAAAAAGGTATGGGTATATTACACCAGTATGGGTACTAAAGGTGTGATGATACAATTCCTCCTAGAGCATGTAAATGACACAATTGTTCAGTTTCCATAAGTCTTTCCCTTTCTTAAATTCATTATTTCAAGGGTCAGACGGTTTTACTTCAGAATTTTGTAAGACTTTTTGGAAATAGTTAGGTAATTTTGTTGTTCGTTCAATTAATTATGGTTTTACAGATGGCCAGCTGTCGGTCACACAACGACAAGGTACAATAACATGTATCCCAAAGGGAGATAAACCATGTCATTTGGAGACCAATTTCACTTTTGAATATCACTTATAAAAAAGCATCTGGAGTAATTTCTCGTAGGATGAAAACTGTATTAGGAAAACTTATAAGTAATGACCAGACAGGATTCTTATCAGGGCGCTTTATTGGGGAAAATATTCGAACATGATATGATGTGATGCACTATGCAGAAGAAAGAAACATTCCAGGTATGGTTCTTCTGATAGATTTTGAAAAAGCATTTAATTCGGTTTCATGGAGTTTTATTGTAAAGGTACTAGAATATGTTAATTTTGGGGTGGACATAAGACAAAGGGTTAAATCTTTACACACTAATGTATTTTCTTATGTTAATCAAGGTGGCAACATTTCTGCCCCTATCAACATTCAACGCGGATGCCGTCAAGGCGATACTATCGCCCCATATATTTTTATACTTTGTGTTGAGGTCCTAGCATCAAAAATAAGAAATAATGACCATATTAAAGGCATCCAATTGGAAAATATAGATATTTTAAATATACAATATGCAGATGATTCTGGGTTGATACTAGATGGTACAGAGAGGTCTCTTAATGAATCTATCGATGAATTGAATAATTTTGCAAATATCTCTGGGTTAAAGATCAATACTACAAAAACACAGGTTATATGGATAGGCAGTAGAAAATATAGTGACCAAACTTTCCTTCCAGACTTGCATCTACAATGGGGGAAGGATAAGTTCAACTTTTTGGGTATAGATTTTTCCGTAGATTTAAGTGAGATTCCAAGAATGAACTTTGACAAAAAGATTTTTAAACTTAAAGCTCTTATTAATAATTGGAATAGACGGAGTTTGACTCCATTAGGTAGAATTAGTATCATAAAGTCTTTGTTAATTTCCCAACTTAATTACCTGTTTATCACTTTGCCAAACCCATCCGAAAAAAATATTGCTAAGTTGAATTCTTTGTTATTCAATTTTCTATGGAATGGCAGCAAAGTCATAGGATTAAAAAAGAAATTGTGATGCAAAACTATATAAATGGGGGATTGAAGATGATTGATGTACATGCTTCTATGGATTCTCTTAAGCTAGGTTGGATAAGAAGACTGTTCCAGCCATCTGGAAAATGGAATCAGCTTTTGAATTTAATTTTGGATCCTAAAAAAATGATAAATTGTGGAAAAGAATACATTATGACATGTGTAAATACCTGTCTTAACCCATTGTGGAAGGATGTTTTTAAAGGATGGGTTAGACTGAATAATTCCAAATTTATGAGACAAATCTACAGTAGAAGTGAATCAATGTTAAAAACTCCCCTATGGTATAACAAAGATATTCAAGTGGGTAATAATTTTATTTTTTATCGAAATTGGTTTGAGGCATGAATATTTACAGTGAATGACCTGGTTAAAAATTCTGACACCTTGACTTTCTATTCACTTGAGGAGTTTCAGTTTAATTTCCATATCCATACAAACTTTCTCCAGTACCAAGGGCTAGTCTCAGCTGTCAAGCTTTTAGTTAGGAAATTTGACTCCTAGATAGCTATAGAAAGACCTTTCCAACCTTTTATACCTCTTCTCTTTGAAAAAAAATTAAGAGTAAAAAAGGATTTAAAGACTTTTATTACTATATTATTGCTCCAGCTTCGACACCTACAGGGATCAATAAATGGAACCATGAATTTGACTTTGATAATGAAAAATGGACAAAAGTTTTCTTAATTCCTTTTACAGTAACAAAAAGTGCAAAATTACATTGGTTTTACATCACATTTTGGCAACAAACACCTTTCTGTTTAGAATTAACTTAACACCTAGTCTGTTGTGTACTTTGTGTAATATAGAACATGAAACAATAATTCATTGTCTTTAGGAATGTCGTGAAGTGCAGAAATTACTGCAGAGATTTGAAACTCTGCTGGATCTATTTTTTATCCCGTTTGCATTTAATAAGGAATCCTTCCTTTTTGGAATAGTTTCACACCTTTCTAGCTTTGTTGATAATGAAATTTTAATTCTTATCAAGCATTATATATACAAGACTAGATGTCTCTGCAAATCCTTAAATCTCAATGCACTAATTAATGTTATTAAAGATCATTTCATTGTTCAAGTCAAAATGAAATTTGAAACAGGTTGGAGAAAATGGAAACCTATTATAGATATATAGCTGTATTGCTAATTTATTTTTCATGTGTTTTAATTTATTTGTTGTATACTGTATATATCCAAGGTCTCAGCACTTTCTGATTAAGTCACTGGCTACTTAAGCATATACAATTTTCACATGTGAGATTGCCTCCCCTACCTCTCTCATCTCTCTCGCTTTCTTCTCTCTCCCTTTCTCTCCCTCTCCCTCTCTCTAAACTTATACTACTGATTTTACTCTTATATAAGTATAGTATGTAGGTTTGATGTACACAGCAGATGTATACTATTATTTATGGTTCTAAAGTAAGAGAGTGATGTGTGTATTAACCTGTGTAATGGATAGGTGTCCAAGAGTTTGTTATGGTGTGTTGTGTGGTTGATGGTGTGTGTGTGTATGGGTGTGTAAAAGATGAATTATATAGATACAGCTAGGTATGAGGCACATGAGTGTCAATATATACAGACAACTGACTGCATACTAGTCTTATGTGTATGCATAGGTGTTTATATATTGTACATATTCATGTATGTGCAATTAAATGGCTATTATCGAACATGTATTCGTGTCCACAATGTAGATATATCAATGCTCAAATGATCATGTACACATTGTGATATGTGTGTGTGTGTTGGTGAACAGTGATACATATACTATGGTAGGATTGGAAGTTTAAACTATTCTTCTCAGCGCATATCATCTAGGGGTAGGAGAATGAGGAAATGTTTTAATAAATAAATATGCAGAATATGATTATTGTATAATGTAAACCTGTGCATGTGTAGATTATTAAGTTATCTCATGCTAGCATGTATACTCTGTAAGTTTGAGTGTGTGTGTGTTTCTTTTCATGATTATATGTATTATGAAAAGATCGTCGAAAAATAAACAATTACAAAAAAACAAAAACTGACACAATTGCTATAAAATTATATCATCATCTTGTGCAACAGATTCAAACTGTTATTTTTATACCGAATATTACACTATTTCGAGAAAGAATTTTCCTTTTATTGAAGATTTAAGAGTTGTCAAGACAAAGATTTTTAACAAAGAGCCATAACTCCTTCAAAAGGGTCCAAATGAAAGAAATACTACCCTAATGCACGTACCCTGATGCACGACATCAGGGGGTAATTACCATATCTGTAAAGTTTGTCTGCCTCATAAACTTCTGGGCCGATTTCAATGAAAGGCTTTTTTCAACAAAGGGCCATAACTCCTTTTTAAAGGATCAGAATGAAAACATATTACTTGGATGTACAATGTCAGGGGCG